TAAGTAAAATGCCAAAGGTTAAAGACAAAAGAGAGAATCTTAAAAGCAGCAAGAGAAAAGCAGTGAATTACATACAAGGGAGCATCCATGCAACTGTCAGCTGACTTCTCAACAGAAACTTTGCAGGCAGAAGGGAGTGGCAAGAAATATTTAAAGTGATGAAAAACATGGAACTACAACCAAGATTGCTCTACCCAGCAAAGCTATCACATAGAATTGAAGGTCAGATAAAGAGCTTCTCAGACAAGGATAAGCTAAAGGAGTTCATTACCACCAAACCAGCACTAGAGGAAATGTTGAAGGATCTTTTTTAACAAGACACTAATGAACAAAAGAATTTGATGAACTAAATAGATCCAGAGACATTGAGGAATGTAACAGATGATCATATTTCAGAGGGAAGAGGGAAGGGGGGTGGAGGGTGGGAAGAGATTAACCAAAGAAGTTATATGCATATATGCATAACCCGTGGACACAGACAATGACGGGGTGAAGGCCTGGGGAGGGTGTGGGAGTGAGGTGGAGGGGGTCAATTGGGGAGAAAAAATGGGACACCTGTAATACTTTCAACAATAAAGATAAATTTTAATAAACAAACAAACAAACAAACAAACTGCCAAGAACCAACCAAGGAAGAAAATCTAAAATGCATTCAGTAAAAACAAAAAAATGCCTTTTGAAGGAATAATAATAAAACCATCTGAGTTCCTAACAGAAATATTTCTTTTTAAGTCAGAAGAAAACAGAATAACTTTAAAGTGCTGGGGGGAAAAGTAATAACCAACTGAGAATTCCACACCAGGTAAAACTATATCCATGAAAGTGAAACAAAGGCATATTTAAACTAAACCTAAGAGAATTGTTTTTGTAGGCCTGAACTCAAGATAATATAAATGAGTGTTGTTTAGCTAGAAGAAAACCACTATTTATGGAATCTCAGGAATACAAAAAACATATTTCAATGAAAATAAAAATATGTAAATAATTTTAAACAAACATTTACTAATAAAAATGATAATAATGCCTTGTATAGAAAACTGAATTAGATGACAACAATAACATGCATCAAGAGTAGGGTCAATAGAATTAAAGTGTTCAAAGGGCCTCTCATTATCTGAAGAGAGATACCAAACCTAGACTCTGATACATCAAGAATTCATGTTCTGCCCGGGCTTGGCCCAGCTGTTGAGCGTCGAACTGGGATCCAGGCGATCAGGGTTCGATTCCCGGTCAGGGCACATGCCCAGGTTGCGGGCTCAATCAATGACTTTCTCATCATTGATGTTTCTCTCTCTCTCTCTCTCTCTCTCTCTCCCTCTCCTTTCCTCTCTCTCTGAAATCAATAAAGATATATTTAAAAAAGAAAAAAAGAAGAATTCATGTTGTAACCAAAGCCACAAAATGAATAATATAAGAATGTATAGCAACCAAATAATAGTGAGACTATCCACTCATCATGTGAGTCAGAAGTTCTTTCTTACACTAAAGTCATACCATCTGACCACTGAATAAATATTTATTAAGCATGCACTATAAATTAATAATCATTGAAGTGTGTCAGTTTAATGAAAGAACATGCTTACATTTTAGTGAGGGAATATAATAAACAATACATTTAAAAATCATTGAAAGGACATTGTAGGTTAGAAAGTGATAAATGTTATGGATAAGTGAAAAGGGAGACCCCAGTAAAGGGAAGCTGAATTTCCAGGTGGGGTAGTGATGGTAAAAATATCAGGAGAAAATTCCATCAAGCTTTCAGCAGGAGGAAAAAAGAACCATCATAAAATATACCACAGCATTCTGGACATAACTATGCTCACCCTAGGGAGAAACAAGGTAACCAAAGCCTAACCTGGGGGATATTATCAGAGTCTAATTGACCTGGGGGAAGGGAAACAGCCAATTCAGCCCCCTCCAGCCTTCCACATGGGAGAAGGGGAAATACCTAACTCAGTCCACTCTAGACATCCTGTCCCAACTTATGGGGAAGAAAAAAGACTGAGAAACACTTATCACATTCACAAAGCAGAAGCAGAGCTTCACTAAAGGACTGAGACCTAATCATGGGTTTACGGAACACTTCCCCTCCCCCTTTGTCTTGTAAATCACTAAAGGCTGACTTACAGCAGTTCTTTTCACCCAGTACATCATGTAGGCCTATCAAGAAAAAATTACAGCCCTGGTTGGTTTGGTTCAGAGGTTAGAGCGTCCGCCCTCAGACTGGAGGGTCCTGGGTTCCCCGGCTGTGGTTGGGGTGAGTCCAGGAGGCAACCAATCAATGTGTCTCTCTCACATCAATGTTTCTCTCTCGCTCCCTTCCACTCTCATTGAAAAACAATGGAAAAAATATATATATCCTCAGGTGAGGGTTAAGTAAATAGATAAAAATTTTTTTAAAGAAATTACAAAGCATACAAAAAGGCAAAAGATGCAATTTGAAGAGATTGAGAAAGCATCAGAACCAGACATAGCAGGGATACAGGAATTATCAGGCTAGAAATTTTAATCAACTATAATTAAAATGCTTAAGACCAAAAACATTATCAAAAATGCAAAGTGCCTTTGATCGGCTTATTAGTAGACTAGACGTGACTGAGGAAAAAATCAGTGTGCTTGAGGATATATCAATGGAAACTTCAATAACTGAAAGACAAAAAGAACAAAGAGTGACTAAAGCCAGAACCAAGTGTCTAAGTATAAACGGTGAAAGTAGACCTTTGTACTTGAATTCTGGTTAAGAAAGAATTCAGAGACAAGACTCAAACTCTCAAGAGAAAGTTTATTCATCAAGCAAAGCAAAAGTACACTCAAAAGAAAGTTTTGAGTGGGTGGCTTAAAGTGCTACCCCGTAGTGTGGGCTAGAGCTGCTTTCACCTCCTTGGAGGGAGTTAAACTCTTTCTTCTTTGAAATGACCTATTAGGGCCTGTCTTGTCTTCTCCTATACGTGTATGAAAGTCAGATGGGGCTTTTCTTCAGCCCCCCTGTCCTTCTATAAGGGGGGGAGGGGTAGAGGAGAGTCTACCACATGACTAGCTACATACCAGGGAGGAAAAGGTCAGGGTGAAGATGTAACCCTCATGACTGGAGACAATCTAGGAGAGGAAAGGGTATAGCGGTGAGGTCTTGATTAATAACACTTGTTTCGAATACTTGCCCTCCCAGTTATGCCCATTGCTGGGCATCCATTGCTAGGTGTCCAGGACTTTCTCCCCTGGTGACAATCCCTATCTGGCCTATTGTTCTGCTCTGCTCATGCCTATCTGACTGCCTACCACATAAGGGCTATGGGACAGCTACAAATGATGTAACATATGCACAATGGAAATAGAAGAAGAAAGGGAAAAGAAATGAATACAAGAACTATTTGTACTATTAATTACTGAAAATTTCCACAAATTAATCTTAGACATCAAACCACAGATCCAGGAAGATCAGAGAACACTAAACAGGTACATGCCAACAAAAATTGTACCTAAGCATACGTTCAAACTATAGAAAATCGAAGATAAAGTCTTGAAAGAAACCAGAGACAAAAGTCACCTTGGCCTGTAGTCTTCCACACTTGTCTCTACAATCATGTACATACACACATACCAATATATTTTACACATTAGGTAAGTTTTACACCCACCTTTATTTTTTTACAAATTATGATCAAAGTTGTACAGATTAAACTGTGACTTCATTCTTTTCCATCAGTGATTATGTCAGAGAGCTTCCTCCAAAACAAAGCATGAACATCTAACTTACTTTTCCTAATTAGCCGCACAACATCTCAAAGAAAGAATGTTTCTTTCTCCTAATAATGCAGACTCAGGTTGTTTCCTTTTATTTCCTCTACAAAACATGCCGCAGCATTTGTCTCTGGTTTTCCTACTTCTGTAGCATAGATTTCAAAATGTAAGGCAGCCAGGGCAAAGATAATGTGCATTTTAATAGCAATCATCAAATT